GGATTTTAATGAGAAAAAGGTTCATGCTGAGTTTTAGTTCAAATATGTAAACAACAAATCCCAATTTATTAATTTCATAAGTTAGTATTTTGAAAATGTTGATGCAAATTAGAGACAGTTCCAAACATACCTTGGCTTAGCTGATGTTACTTTTTACTCAACTACCCAACACTACGTATTCAAAATTCATTCATTCGCTTTTAAGTTGAGATACACATAGGATCCATCCCTATCCAACTTTGGTCACGTAACAATAGAAACACCAAAGAAATACGTTGCTGCGAAAGTTTTTACATTAACCCTCAATGAACTCCAGAACTAATCACACCTTGGATAAAAAGTAAATTTAAAACTACCCAAACAATAAACCACACTCAAACACGTCACCTACGTCAACGATCCGCCTGAATGACCGTAGTACAACTCTATGAATGGGATCTGTGAATGGCCCAGACATCAAGGTGTTGGAGATGAAAATCTCATTAGCCCTCGTGAATCTCATTTGAATACTGAACCTGATTATGAGACCTGAGACCGTCTCAATGCTGGGATCTCATTAGGTTTATGAGGTTGTCCCACTTCTTATGCAGCCATTTCCATAGCAAGCGCCGCATCTGCATTTCAAAGTGTCTACACATAATAAACTTGTCGCTCCACGTTACTTGGCCAAATAAACATTGTCGCTTGTTTATTGTGGACGTTAGTAGAATAAAGATAATTTGTATTGTTTTACGTAGTGAAAGAATACATTTTCATGATAATGAAACTTGGGCGATGAGTTTGACCACTGGCTAGTAGTGCTGTGGACATATTTGAGAGAAATAGATGTTACAATAGTGTATCGTGTAGTAATAACCATACTAGATTGTCTTGGAAAACTTGAACTGTTTCCGAACTGCTTGCCGTTTCAACGCTTATTGTACAAATTACTATATAGAGTAATTTTTTATCGAATATGATGTTAGGCTGTTTAAGGCTGGACTGATGAGAAACTACTACTACTTATTTATATGGCACTTTATGGCAAATTACTAATACGACTTGAGTCCAAATTAAAGAAAAGAATCTACATTATCATCATTTAAGAAGTGATGCCACCAGTTTGTTTTACCTTTTAGCAACCGATACATACTCTATATTAATACTGTTTGATTATATGGTTCAAGGACGGGTTGTTCTCTAACTTTATACAATTTGTGTTGTCATACAAGGGTCATTATTACAATGTAGTCCGTTCTTCATTAAAATTACTCTCAAATTGGTTTGTAAAAATCTTGCACTGCTCTCTAAGTGAGGAAAGGCTAGACAAAAAATTCGGTAATTGTTGAACTAAGCTAGATTTGAATATAAATGAAAAAAAAACTGTCTAGATATTTAGATGATTCAATGACATCCCTCTACAATGCAAAGTGATAATGGTGTACCGACGAAGCTTAACGGTTTTACTGTGCGAATTTAATCCACAACTTTAAACTGATATGTATGTAATTTGATATTAAATATTTGGTAGTAGAATAGTGGGACGCATCTGATATATCGCTTATTTTGCGAAGTTTAGTATTTCAGACCTGGGTACAATTCTCACCAATCTCTAGTGGTCGTTATATCTTGAATCGATGTTTTAGAACCAATTTTATCAGATCTACTTACTAAAAAATCCAAAAAGATAGGACCAACAGTATCCGTATTTATCAGTAACAGTAAGCAAACAATACCAGTATTCGACAGTACAGGCAAATCGTACTCGTATTTTGACAGTACCCAAAAGCAAACAGTACCCGATAGAATACCATATGGCAAGGCTATCGATTTTTATAACTGTTATTATAGAGATTGATGGACACAACGTATTTTGCACGACGGACCTTTAATGTTTATTTATTTATTTATTCTTTCAACGGTAACACTATTTTTACATTAGAATATACATTAATAGGATTTAATCACTTTATGAACATAGCATAATTAGGTAATAAATATGAGCAATAAGAATAAATTATAAAGCAGACATGACATGCAAAAATACATAACCAGTATAAAAGAAAACAAAATACATTCATAGGCTGAAACATTTCAAGTGTATAAATAATAAGTGTATAAATGTTATAAGGCTGGATCTTGATGTTTACAACCTAACTGGTAATTACGATTTGTTTGTGCATCAGACTGTTGACTGCAATTAAGGTGACTAAATGGTTAACAATTTTGTATTTCTATTGATGGTTTAGTTTTAGCGAATTTCCCTATAGGGAAGTAGCTATTACCGTAGGTGGCACGGTAAGACCTAGACCCGGAACCGATTTACTTTTTCATTTTGATGTCCCCAGAGGCCAAAAACACCATTCGTTCAAATTTTTATATATATATATATACTGTATACGTCCGTGAACGCGATAACTTGAGTAATTTTTGTCCGATTTTGATGAAATTTGGTTTAAAGGTGTAAAGCGGGATAAACTTGAATGAGTTCGCGAACCAGCACGATCGGACCATGGAAACGGGGCTTTACGGGGTAAAAATTAGGTTTTCTCACTTTTGACCCTCAAAACACAAAATTTCCCGATTTTTCTTTAGACCTTTTTAAAGAGCTTAAAAAAACAAATAATTTAGTATATAAAAGTATTTTTGTTCGATTGTTAGTAACGGAGAAAATTAAAAAAAATGTAAATTTAAAATTCCCATGTTATTCTTATGGAGAATATTGTCAAATGTTGTAGTTTGCTTGTTTATGGATATATTTTGATCAAACTTGGCAAATTTATTTATTTTGTACTAAGCTATCAATATTTTACTCAAATTGCTGCGGCGGGGGTATTATTTTTTTATGATAATCAAAATTTAGTAATCCTGATCTAGTATCAGCATCTCGCGATAGAAGATAGGTATATGTTATATCTACGGAATGAGAAGTAAGGCTTTTTCCAACTTTTATTACAGTCTCAATCTTCTTCAATCTTCGAGAAATAATTAGATTTATTTTTGCTTTTTAAGGAGATTTTAGTTACAGTCTTCGCCAAAACAGCTAGTATATAATTGTGTCTTTAACGGTATATGTATTGCATGATTGGCATAAGTTTTACGATTGTGCGCATTGAAATAAATGTTAAATTAAATACTATATTTCATTCCTACTCAATTGTAACCCACGTTTTACCGCTATTAATGGGATTCACGCCTGAAATTGATGGTTATCTACAGTTAATTATTAAAGTGCGTCTTATCTTGATCCATTTAACCATATCCACTGACTTCCTTTAGGCAAACCTTTCATACAATATTTGTCACGATAACCTACTGTGCGTGTTGAATTCTAGGGTATATGATTCGATAGGTGTGTTTAAGGAGGGGATTATAAAGTTTTATAAGTATGTCATAGGCAATAGTATTATTTGAAAAGTTAAAATAATCTGTTAAACAAGACAAATATAAAATTTAATAATATTAACGTCATACTGCAGCAAAAACAGCCGTTTTTAATACGTGCGTTGCGGCACAGAAAACATGTAGTATGTTTTCTGTGGTTGCGGGTCTAAAGTAGCATTTTTACTCCCTTGGGCGTAAAAGCCTTTATAGTCCCTAAGGAGTACTGTAAATGCCAGGTTTGTAAACAGTTGTCAATTTCGATTATAAGCATTCGCATTAATCAAAATAATATATCGATTAATTATTAGATTGGTTTTAAGATTTTTGTTGCATTTTCCCCCAAAAGTTCAACACATCTATAGTAAAGTAACACAATCGTAATTTCCTAAATTATTAAATAACTTTTTTTAAACGGCTGCTTATTTACATTGGCAGAGAATTGAAAACAAACTGAATTCGCTTTGAGAGGTTGCCTTCACATGAAAATTATTTTCATTTTCTTTCTTAGTTTGTTAACTCATTAGTTAGTTTTTTTCGTCATATTACCTCATTAGCTAATATGACGAAAAAAATTAGTTCATCACATGGGCAGAAAGTGTCTTTTCAAGCCTGGCTCATTTTCAGTGAAACTTGAACTCCAGTCAAAAAGAGCCACTTTACACCCTAGGGATGAAATATACTATTTCTTGCTTTTTGTGGGGGTATTTACCAACATACATTCAGTTCTTACTGTCACATATGTTTGAGTTTATCTGGATTTTGTACTTATAGTTTACTAGCAAACCCATCGTGGCTTCGCCCACAAAAATCTTATATATTAAAAGATTGGGTTTTTCTTTTCCGAGTTCGTTTGGCTCTTCTATCCGACCGATTTTCATGATTGAGGCCTCGAATTGAAGGTGTGCACGCACAGACTTCACACCAAGTATCGGCATATATTTATCTACATTGCCACTCGGCATAACCATAAACAAAATTGTCTCCCCGTGTATTTCTTACGAGAGTTAAATTTGGGTTTTCCCGAGTTCGTTTGGCTCTTCTACCCGACCGATTTTCATTATTGAGGTCTTAAATTAATGGTATGCACACACAGATTTCACATCAGGCACCTGTAGCAGCTAACCTAGGTACTCGTTAAACTTAAATGTTAGTTTAATAAATGAATTTAAAATCAATCCAGGCAAATGGAAATTCGCTTAGTCGGCAGGCTTGCTGCAGCGGGGGTATTTTTATATTTAACACGTTTGGATTATAATGTTTAGGTATGATTGAGTTTTGCTTAAATAAACCATATAAACGAAGTACTGTTTGTGTGCCAACCACTGGAATAAGCTTTTTCAAACTATGAAATAGGTAAACAAATAAATATTTTTTCTTGCGAGTGACCAATGTTTTTTGACTTCATTTTTAGCTGTTGAAATTCAACCTCAGAGTCTGACCAAATAACAAAAGATCGTTGATGAATTTTACTTGGTTATCCATAGTGGACTTATAACAACTACCAACTGCGCCCTAGTGGTATACTACAGTGACATTTTATAGATAGGTAATCGTCTAGGTTACCTCTTCGTCTATCCACCACATTGGAAACACCAATTACATTTATATACCTTTACAACTCAATGTGTGTTACTAACCTGTGTGGTCCGGTAGCTGAGAGGACCTAGGAGGAGTGTGTTGTTGACCATCTAGTCCTGTAGGCAGAGCGTACAGTGCGGCAAAGTCCGGCGCCTCCGTCTTGGCGGGCTTCTTGTCGTGGTGGTGATGATGGAAGTGCGAGTGGTCGTCCACCAGGCCCAGAAGACCGAGGTTCGGCCTCAGCTCATCCATAAGCTTCCCCCCGTGGGGACTTTGATGGTGGAAATTCAACTGGCGGGAGAATATGGCGGGAAAGATGTTGAACTGTTGGGCGTCGTTGGCGGCGGTTGACGCCGTGGAGGTGGTGGGCTCTGGGCCCGTCCCACCTCCGGAACAGCTGGACACCTTGAAATCCAACTTGGCGACTGGGACAACAGAGATACTGGCTCAACACGGGAAAGCCTCTACAGAGAGTCTCTTAGGGTTATTCCCTCACTTTAACTAAAATGTCTTTATGAAGATAACTTCTAGTTTTCTGTCAATTCAAGACAGCAGCCAACAGTTATTATTTTAACCTCAAACTAAAGTAAAGTAGTGACATGGTTTTAATCTTTTGATTATCATGTATCTAAATGTATATTATTTCTAAGGCCTGTTCTATAATCTAATGTAAACAATGAGGACGAAAACAATGCAAGAAATGTAAAAACTATTCACTCTGTAATAAGGATAGTATCTTGAAATCTATGACGAATAACAAGAGTTCACAGTCCTTCAATGTACACAATTTGACAACAAAACTCTAGAACTAGGTTAAAGTCTTGACACACTAATAATTACCATGGTCGGTCTGTCCAAAAGTGAGCACATAAAGAATTCCAGTCACAACACAGAACTCGAGATGACTTCGTTAGAGAAACGCCACACCGGCGACACAGTCCGAGGAAAAAGTCTTCAAAAACAGTCTTACTAGATTTGCGTCGAATCAATAAAAAAGTGACGATTATTAAATTGTAGTATTGGCGCGAGGTGTTAGGTAACCGGAGTTAATAAAATAAGCGAAATGAGTTTAGCAGCAGCCTAGACGAAACTGGTACTTAGTTAATGCGTCAGGCACCGGCAAACGAAAAGTGACTAACGAAGTTACTCCGAGAATTGAGCCTCTAAACAAGCCTTCGCGGGGTGGGCGGAAAAAACCGATCCCGGATCAGTTTTCATTTGCACCAATCATACGCGACCGCGGCGGCGGGCGAGGGTGCGAGGCGCTCTGTGATTGGTCCGCGAGAGGGTGGTTGCCATGACGACACGCCGTCTCCATCCAAGATGGCGCCACCTCGCGACGGCCAGCAGTCATGTGTCTTCTGTTTTCTTTTTAAGGGTAGGTTTCATTCATTTTACTTTCTTGTCAAATTGTTTGCTTTTATTTACCCTAGATTGCAATTTGACCTGGTCACGTGACTCAGGTATTCTAAGTGTTTAATTAAAGTCGTCGAGACGATTATTCTCATTTTTTCCAGAGATGGTGGACCGAGATGCAGCCAAGGTTTGGAGATGCTACCCGTGTTTGCATGGCAAGGGTTGCAGTGAAGGGTGAGTTTTCAGTGCATTATTATACTGTGACCGATCTTTGTATAGAATTTATATGTATTTGTAGGTGCCTACAACAGTTAGTAGTATTATGTTTGAAGATTTTACACGTGTTTTTATCTTAAAGCAATTATTTAAAGCATTTAAATATTGTTGTGGCTCAGACTTTTTTCAAAATATCACTTGATAAAAGTTAAACCATGTAAATGTTTAAACTGATCTTTATTTTAGGTACACTTTATTTATTTATTTATTGCCAACGGATTTCACCAATTTACAATAAGAATTACAATATAGTGAGACTACAAAAGTAGTACTAAATACTAAAACTAAGTAACAATGATGAGCTGATGAACAATACAATAGGGATGCATGCAAGCTCTAAGACAGTAAAAAAAAACTACTTATACCTAGGAGTAACAAGACATAAATAATACAAGACATGCGGTAATTGAATAAATAGTAAAAGTTTAAGTCAAGAAATATGGACGTAACAGAGACAAGTGAGACTAACCTAGGAAAATATAACAATAAATATAAATGATATAAATAAGTTTATATAGCATACTATCACAGTTGAGGTATTGTATAACGAAAAAGCTTGTCTAAGTAGTAGTTATTAATCATAAAATAACTGTGCATGATATAAGTTAAAACTAGTTTATGATATTTTTTGATAATTGGTTAAATTTTAAATTCCAGAACATACCTTGTATCACTAAGAGAGTGTTATTACCCTTCTTTATTTAAGTCTTCGTTTTTAATACCGATAGTTATTTTTGTATAAGTAAAAATAAATAAAAGATGAGATCAATGGGAATATGAGCTATTGATTTACTAAATAAAGGAGGGCCATTTTTTAAATAATAAAACAGAAGTTTTAAAAGAATTTGTAAGCAACATGTAAATAAATAATGTTAGACGAAGTAAAAAGTGCTAGTAAAATACCTAACGAATCTTAATTATTAAAAATTATTTATAGAAATAATATCATTAAACAACATATAGCCTAACCATACTCAAACAAGATAAAATGTGCTTTTGTCGTTAACGGAGCCTCATTACATTATGCGTATTTTATTCATTAAATTAAAATTGTTTTCTTATTTTAATGCTGTGTTGTTTTTTCCCGTTTGTTACATTGAGCTACCGTTCATTGTAATTTTTAACCGACTTCCCCACTACCAACAAAAGGAGGAGGTTCTCAATTTGTTTGTGGCGATGTTTTTTTTTTTCTATGTATGTTCACCAATTTCTCTGTGATTCTTTTACCGATCAGTGTGGTTCCACCACCAAAATAACCAGGAGAGTTTCTATTTGGTACCTTATATATTATGTTTAAGTATAATATTTGTTTCGGTGAAAAATTCTGAAAACCTTAAATATTCAACATTTATTTTGTTTACATTTGTGCAGATTGTTTACATTTGTGCAGAGAAGGCAATAAATCATAATAACATTCCTACAGCTGTTAGTTGAAACCATTTAAATGAAGCTACAGACAATTCTTCATGAAACAGTTGCTTCATATTGATCAATAAACTACTTCTTGCCATGGAGCCTAAATGAATTACATTGAGAAAAATGCATTTTGTTTTGGTTACTATAAAAAATGTATTTTAACGTTTGACCTGATTTGTGTATACAGTAATTCTGTTTTTATTAGTATTGAATATTCTGACTTACAAAAATATATATGTTTCAGTGAATAGCTGTATGATATTGACAAATAAAGGTGTATTGTGAAAACCAAAGCATTCGTAAAACAGGTCTAAATATAAATTAAATGCAATTATTCCTTACACGACCTAAGAAGTGTGACAGTGCATAATCGTCAATTGTTTTAAAAGTGTTAAATATTTTAATTACTAAACATGCATTTGCAGATGCGGAATGTTTATTGATATTCTCTACCCAGTTACTATATCATATCAATACTATTATGCCTGCTTCGGAAAGTCCTAGAGGAAGATGATTTGCAATTTCGACTAGGCTATATCTTGATCAAACAAAACCACCTAAATGGCTTACACCACTTTTAGCTGAACCAATCACATTGAAATGTCAGACATCATCGTTTCCTGCAATCGGTGTACTTCTACATTATAAAAAGAAATACAGTAACGTCTCAAGCCTTTTGGAACAATATGAAAGTTATTCCTCAGCCACCAGCCCTAAAAAATATCTCAAAAGTGGAAAATTGGTCGTTAACTCGTATAGTACCTTTTGAAAATATTATATGAAAGATTGTGTACATTGTGCACATAACACATTGTGTACCATTGTGTAGATTGTGTTTCATATAATATTTTCAAAAGGTACTATACGAGTTAACGACCAATTTTCCACTTTTGAGAGATTTTTTAGTGCTGGTGGCTGAGGAATAACTTTCATATTGTTCCAAAAGGCTTGAGACGTTACTGTATTTCTTTTTATAATGTAGAAGTACACCGATTGCAGGAAACGATGATGTCTGACATTTCAATGTATCTAGAAAAGACAATTAGTTTTTAATTAGGCCTAATGTAATGGACAACTCTTTCTTTCTTAAGGAATATCTAAAAATGTTTATTTTCATACCCATTGATTATGTAACCTGAACAGGTGACTCAAGCAGTTTTAAAATAATGATTGTTCTGTGGAACTTTTGATTGTTTCAAACAGTTTTGCTTATCAAAAAACCTCAAGTAATTAATACATAAAACATTATACTGTCACTAAAAATCATGAAATAATTTATTTTTGTAAAAAAAATACAACCGACTTCAAACGCTCTAAAAAGAATGAAATAATTTCAATAAAGTAAACTTTTGTATTAGGCAAGCTCACGTATTTCAAGTCGGCGCGGCTCAAACTGCAAATATGATTGAAATTAAATATTGTGTGTGTATTTTGAAAATCAATAAATTGTAGCTGGATATCATAAATATATAAAAAACATACTGAACTTTTTATGGTTACTTCAGAATAAATGCATTATGAAAATAACACACACAAATGTTCTATATGAATAGGAAAATAATTTAGTTTGATATTATGATAGGGAAAAGAAGCTAGTTTAGAATTAAAACGTCACTTTTCCAAGTTAGATACATTTAAATGCGTTATAATCTTTTTAAAGATACTCGTTAATACCACTATAATGCCGATCTCTGATTACGGTAATAAAATAACACTTAACGCATAACTATGAAAAAGACATGCAGATTAACACCTTTAGTTATAGATAGTCACCTGCAATATGGACACCCTCTTTCAATTTTGTATCAAAAATCATCATAGAGCCGCGCCGACTTAAAATACGTGAGCTTGCCTAATACAAAAGTTTACTTTATTGAAATTATTTCATTCTTTTTAGAGCGTTTGAAGTCGGTTGTATTTTTTTTACAAAAATAAATTATAGTAAAATAGTCTTACCGTAGAATTCAAAAAATTAAATTAAAATATATTGTGTTTAAAGTTTGATTATATTTGTCTTAAACAGTTATATCATTCATAACTTAACATCTAAGTTTTATAAATAAATAGATAAATATTTTTTTTATAAAATATTATAAAGTTTTGTTCAAGCTGATTACACTCTTATTAACAATACTCATTTGATATTCTTCCCTAGATGTAAAAAAATACTGTCTTTGATTTAAGCTATTTATAGTTTGAAAATTGCTCGCATGTTGAATGATTGAAGTGGATAACCCATAAAAATGCTGGATTTTGTAACAATAAAGATTGATTTCATTTGGATAGAAATAAGTGTGTTCTAATTCATAAAAACTATAAACTACTGAACCAGTCGTAGAGCTTAGTTAAACTACGTTATCAATTCGATCTGTGTTATTAGATTTGTATAGTTATTTTAAAATAGGACATTAATTTATGGCACCACACAGTAATATAGGCCCTAACTTTATTTTAAATTCAGTAAACCGTGCCTTTTAATTCCTAGAATGCAAAGTTTGTATATATAATAAAAATAATATTTTGAGTTAAATATTACATTGAATATTAAAAATTGAAAGAAACAAAAGTGTTGAAGAGGTCAGTACGAAACATAGCTTATAAACTACTTAATGCAAAAATATGTATATTATCGGGCCACTTTAAAATGCGAACCATACTTCCAAGTTATTTCCAAAAGATAAAACAATAGTTTAAATTTATGCCTGAAGGCTAAAGCTGCAGTTTGTCGTAATTTCATAAGATATTCCTCTAGGTTATTTTATGCGTAAAAACTAACGTATAATTTTACCACTAAAATCTATAAAACCATCGTACCATATTTGGTGGTTCAATATACCTTAATAATAATAATATTCCTTAATTATATATCTTAATATCTTATTAAATGTTATAAGGTCTTATATATAATCGGATTATTTTTTACTACATAGAGGTAAATACAATGTACATGCATACATTTTTTGTGTATTAATTCCTTTTTCCTAGTGAAATTGATATGACAGTTTTTCTCCATTTATTATTTGAAAGTTGTTTGGAAGGATTATCATATTCTGTATTTTTTCCTGTACAATTTGATAAAGCTATATTTAGTTTATCGTACACAACGAGCAGTAACTTTATAAATCATCTATTGAAACTTTATAAAATTATAATTCTATATTTTTACGCAATACAAATGAAGAAGAGGTTATAAAAACTATCAACGATATGAAATCCTCTACCTCTTATGGCTTTGATGACATCTCTTCTAAAATTTTAAGATTTTGCTCTTCAGAACTGTCTACTCCTGCGACGTACGAGTATATA